GTGTGTGTGTGTGTGTGTGTGTGTGTGTGTGTGTGTGTGTGTGTGTGGGGGAATTGCTATGATTAGCATTGGTTCTCATCCAGTATACCTTAGCTGAACCTGTAGCCTTTTATGTGACGGACCTCACGTATGCACATACCAGCGGTGTCAAAACGCTCCAACCTCCTGCCGTGTGAGATAAGACTGTGTACGTAAGACGACCCATAGTTTTTATATGGAAGGAAAACACACACACACACACAGAGCTGCCTGCAGTGTGGGATTTTGGTTGCCAGGTCAGTGAGTGGTTGTTACAGACTCCGTGGACGGGGGCCAAGCTAAACCAAATGTGATCCAAATCCCTCTTTAAAGCTTTACACGCACTGCCAGAAATTCACCAGATTTAATCTGTCTGCATGTGTTCACACCTGCAGGCAAATAGGTTTCATAATGTCACTTTCTATTGTTTAGAATATAATTCAGCTTTAATGACTCAGCATTTATCTCTTGCTCTTAGGCAGAATAAGACACAATGAACACAATGATAGGATGACAAGAGATTTAAGGAGGAACCAAAGCAGTGACATTAGATAGAAATACAATGATAAAGGAGATATCTCGTTACCGAGCAAGAAGCCTTGGAGCATTGGTGTACATTAAGGCAAAATGTTCCCCGCAGTGTGGCACTGACCCGGCCCAACGATTGTGTAAATGGGGTGAGTCCATTAGGCAGCTGGAATAACAAAGGCTTCTACAGTAAGACACATCTTTTATTCACGTGTTGTTATCTTTTTACCCACGAATATCAGCCCCACGAGAGCATTTTACTGTCGGATCCCAGACTGTGACTACACCGACACAATAATGTAATCCATCAGTGAGGTGCATGTTCATTTTAAAAGAGTTTGATGAACGGTCACAGTAGCGCTGGACCATAAACAGAGAAAACAGACGTCTGGAATCCTTCCTTGGTTTAACAAATAGAAAAAACACAGTCTGCACCCATCATGTTATCTATCTATTCAGGATTTGTCATGATGACATGTTTTCTACTATTTTCTGAAATTGTACGAAACCCAACAATTAATCAGTTAAAATAATCAATAATGAAAAGTTGAGTAATATTTCCTGTTGTGAAGTCAGATGAGGGTGTGAGATATTGAGAGATATGTCAGCTGGTAAAGATGTAACTATTATTCTTTCATTATATCTGGTTGTATCAGGTCTTTGCAGGCAAAAACTGAGCGGGACTGCTTTTGGGAAATATTGGCTTTACAGGATTTGGCATCAAATTAAGGAGATTCCTCCATTTGTCAGGTATTAAATTTATTTGATTACCCACAACAGACACCACCATCTGCTTATTTTATCCATAAATTGTTTTTTAACTAATCCAATCTCCTCTCTGCCAGAAGGACGTCAAACGTAGATGACAGGGGATTTGGTGAGACGAGCTCTAAATGTTGCTGTAGATATCAGACAGAAGCGCATAATCTTTATCATTCTTGTAATTTGTCGTATAATTGTCATTTTTTTTTTTTGTGCGATATACCGTAACAAACAATGACTTGAGAAGCAGAAGGCCTCAGCTCGAGGCAGATGGAGAAAGCTGAGCGGCTGGTTGGGTTGAAGTAATCTGGTTTAAGGGCAGCGCTTGAACTGTACAGCATCTGCTGAATGTGTCGAGCAAATAGAGAGAAGGACAAACTGTCGTATCTGTAAAGCCGCCATTTCCTACCCTGGTTGTTGGACTTTTGCATTAGATTACGTCTGTGGGGGTTTTCCCTTTAAAGATATTTTAAAACTAAAGTGTGATTGAAAGTTTCCAACACCAAAATATCAGAGCTTTCATAGTTTAAGGTGCGAGTGGAAAATAAGCGTTTGACAGCGATTGAGCAGCAGATCAGCTTATTGATCATTGTCCTTGTTTTGAATGAACACAGCACCACCTCCCTTCATTGGCCTAAAGGCTTATAATCATAGTGATACAAATCAGGTACATTTCTATTAAACAAACAAAAAACATATAACCCGTTGCTTCCTGTATTGCTGTGTGAGACAATCTGCTCGGTCACCGTTTGTCAGCTCTTCTGTCTGCTCATTTGTCAGCGTACGCTCACAGCTGGTGTTTTGATCTATTGTTTACACAGAGGCACAGATGGAAATGACAAGACTCGTACTATCCTGTGTGAGCTATTTGTTCTGTTTTAATTGAATCTCATTCAGTCCTTAGTATAACACAGCAAAGACAGTTTATTCAACGATATCTAACAAGCGGCTCCTGGTTTCCTTATTGTTTCGCCGTAGTGTCGCTTCCTCATTGCACCGTCGCTGCTTTCATAGAGCTGTCAGGCACGTAGTACAGCGTGTAAAGACAACAGATGGAGAAGGGTTGGTTTCTTAAATGCAGAAAAGGCTGAAGCGTACTGGTATTTCAGTGAGCAGTGGTCTGACAAGGAAAGAGAGAGAGGTGATAAAGATCAATGCTAAATCAATAAAGCTCAATGTCATTTTCTCTGTGGCTCTGCTCTGCTGAGGCTGTGAAGGTTCTGTGTTGTGAATCACACAGTGAAGGACAAATAAAGACAGGTTAACCATCATAGTCAAACCTCAAAGTATCAGGACCCCTGTTTTGTGAATCTAATCAAATCCTCAGCTGGCAGTTATGCTACATCCAGACATCAGAATAAACAGATTGTATTGACTATTGGTGATTACCAAACGCATCTATTCGTCGTTTTCCTGACAGAAACATCACAGAGCCGGAGCAAGAAATGCAAAATATCTCTGCAAAAAGTTGATGTGCTACAGAACAATGCACTGGTATATCTTTTGTATATGATTATAATAATACTTTTATGCAAGGATTGGGTGATTTGATGATATGATATTTTGCAATACTGTTTATACTGCGGCAGCTTTTCCTTTTAACATCTCGGCAATGTTGTGGTAAATGTTGCAAATTGAATTATTACTTTATGGTCAAATTGGATTTTTATATGATTTTTTGCATCAATGTGATGACTTACATTAATTTGTATTTAATTAATTTAATTAACTGCATTAGCCAAAACATTATACGTTCACTGTTTCTCCAACAATTGTCTAGAAAATAGACTTCATCACAATAGATATCAATGCTGCATTTACAATAAGATGTGACGTAGAGGATGTAAATGATACAGAGGACTTTATTGATATCACAGAGTCCAAATTCGATCCCAGAGTGTTAAAGATATCAATAGCAGTTCTGTTGCAACACGAGGGTGGAACAAAACTTTCCTGAATGTAGCAGCTATGAATAGTATTTAATGCCCACGCTCAATCTGTTTAAATATGTCTTTAACTTAAAAAAGATTCAAGAGAAACACTCGTGAAGGCAGAGCTTCACTGAACGTATATAATGCATACTTAATGCTTATATCTTAGATGTTTTATTGTGCTGGTAATGAAGTGGCCATCACACAAAGACAACTTCATGCAACTGTCCTGAACAAATTGCTCCACTCCCACAGTTTCCAACACAGAGCTGCACTTGTTCCCACTGTAGGCGTTGAAGTTTGCAGTGTCACAGCCCCTCAGGCCAGCGAAGAATGGATCTTATTCTACTGCTTCCCCTTCAGAGCACTTGTAGGACACGTCAGGATTTCTATGAAACGTAGAGACACGAAACTGTGATAACCTGGAGAGTAGAGTAAAGCGGTCCTGAGACGAGTAGATCACCGGATCAGCGATCAGACAAACCTCCTCCTCCAGCAAATGCTCTTATGCAGGGCACCTAACCACAGTGAAGGTGCTCAGGGGCAATTAACCGCTCGCTGCAGAAGACTGTTTTTACACTGGGGTGAAACCACACAGTGTGCAGAGGAAGTGGGGTGTTGCTGATAAGAGCGTAGGCAATACAGGTTCAAAAATATATACGGACTCGTATGCAAACAACTTGTGCATAACTAATCAAATTATCAACGAGGCTGCAGATCGTTTTCTTGATAAATTGGTTTATGTTTGGTCTATAAGACAGAAAAACACACATCGCAGTTTTACAACCAGTACATTTAAATCTTCAGATAGTTGTTTGAACACCTGTCACAGAAAACAAATGTATTCAATTTACTGTCACAGAAAACAAAGAGAAGCAGCAAATCTTCACCTTTTGAGAGCCAGGAAACAGAAAACAATTGACATTTTTGCATGAAAAAATGCCTTCGATAATTATTGATTTATCATTTTTTTAGATGATGATTTTTGTATTGATCAACAGAAAAAATAATTCAGCTCTACATCCAACATGGTGGCCTGGATTGTACGTTGAACAAGCTTTAGCTTTCTTCGTCCCCTCTGGCGTATTCATCAGATCCTCAGGCTTCAAGGAAAGTCCAGTTGAAGAAAATTGAATTTACCGTTAAATATGGTCTCTAAAAGAGGCTATGGCGGTGAGCTGCTGCTACTGATTCAAGGGCAAACACTGGCTTTACTGCCTCCATTTAATTCCTGTGCTCCGGCTCGCTCTACCTCACTTACTCCTTTCTCCCCGCTGCTTTCTATCCTCTAATCTTCTTCTGTCGTTCTCTTTCTGATGCTCTTTTATTCACCATAAACGCTGTCCCCCCCCCCCCCCAGCCTGGTTTGACCTGCTGGTATCTGCCTGTAAGACACAGAACCACGATTTGAACTCTATGCAAATGCTGACCCACTATATCCTGCAACGGCCTGGAGGGGTATCGCAAGTGCAACTTTAATTTGTGCACTCAAGTGAATAATTAGTAGCTTGATTCTTTGTACCAACTCCACCAAATGGCAGAATTAATACCACTCATGCCTAAATATTACTGAAATGATCAACTAATAAGTAGCGACTGTGTAAAAGAATCAGCAGAAAGAACATTTGCATTTCACTATATGTAGCTTGCTGTTTCGTTGAGACGGATGTGTTTTTGCACAAGGAAGACGTTTAAGGTCGATACGCTGCATCAGTAAAAACTTCCGGGAATCTAAAAATGTCTGCATGTGCACAACCACTCCTTTGTCTAAGTAAAGTGACAGATAGACGGGTAGCAGCGGTAGATTATCTCAGGTTAGGAGCTGTGACCAGTTAAATTATGTAAATGAATTAGAAGAGTTTCTTGAATTCAGACTCAAGCCACGCCAGTTGTCTTCAGACGAACCAGGATTATTCAGAATTGAATAAACCGTTGATCATTTGGGCTGAAAGCTGCCTTTTGTTTTCAATTAAATAACCTTTTTTTAGATTGTTAAGCACATTACATAGATAACATCCACATTTATATTTGCAGAAACAAATAAAGGTAGTAGTAAAGTAAATACTAATGCTACATGTTGAGGTGACATACTGTTGTTATTATTGGCCACTATGTTAAAAGAGCAACTTAAACGTACTTACCTCATGTGATAATTGTGTATTTACTCGTACTGACACAAGTAAAACAGGAGGACTCAGTGCTAATGTCTGAAAATGTGCACAAACAGGTTTGAGGTGAACATTAGGGTGTGTGTGTATGTGGGTGTGTGTGTGTGAGAGAGAGAGAGAGAGAGAGAGGAGTTCTGTTTCCTCTATGTATTTATACGCTTTAAACCACATTCTTTCACATTCTCTTTGTTTTATTCTTTGGATCCCTTTCGACGAGTGTTTTGTGTACAGTAGACTGACACAGCTGAGTCCCGTTGGTGCTGCTTTCAACCCTTTAGCCAATCGGCTCGACATAAAACACAGACTTCATATTAAGGTTATAATCAGACTTCCTGTTACTCAGCTTCTTGCTGTTAAGCATTCTGGATCATTACCATGACGTGACACATTATGAGTAGTACTAATGAGTGGATGAGAATGTTTTCATGTTAAATGAAAACTATTTTGTAAACAATATCGGTCTCACTCATAGAATGGCATTGAAAGTGTCTCATATTTAAATATCAGCCCGAACATAAGACGACCTTCCTTTTCCAACACTTGTTTATGGAAAAAGACCTCTTGAAGACACAACACGCACGTTTCCCTGAGATACTATTAATTCAAGCAGAATAACCTTCTCATTCTTCTGGCTTTTTTTGAAATTCTTCACATTTGTGGAGCTTGTCTCTCAGTCTCATACTCACTCTCTCCTGTCTCATCTCTTGTGAGCAGTCACAATGCTATTTTCTTCAGCAGTTGGCATTCTTCATACAAATATTATATTTATATTCATCAGGTTCTTGCTTGGGACACAGTGTTTACCTGTTGTTTTCATTCCATCTGCAAAAAGCAGATAATAATCTCAGTCACATGTTCAGTGATTGGCTGAGAGGTTTCATATCCTTTTGTCTCTAGAATCACTCACACCCCCACACGCTCTTTGTTTTTTTAAGGTGTGGACTGGTTTGTATGTGGCAGGTCATACCAGAGAGTACAAGGCAGTAATGTGTTGTGTCAGGGTCACGGGATGCATGTGTGAATAATCGGCCCAATAACCCAACACAGTAGACAAATAGGGAGAGACTGAAAGTCTGGTATTTCTCTGACTGTCGAGTGGAGAATCAGCTTTAAAATTAAAGTAGACAGACTTGGATTTACTAGTCTAGAGCCGGCGGCAACCTCTGAGTCTGAAAAGTGAAGAAAATGAGGACGTGCCTTCAACTTCCGGGGGCAACTCCTCTTTTTGCAAAAAGAAGTCTGATCGTATAGAAGTCTATTTGTCTCTGCTTCTTACTTGATTTATTACCTCAGTATAATATGTAAGCGTGAGTTTAGTCTTCTTCAATACATGCATGATGTTTATTTATTAAATTATGGTCCATTTAGAGTGAAATAGACCTTACAGCAGAGTATGCTTTAGGGCGGGGCTACCTTGTGTTCGACAGGGCGCTACCATGGCGTTGTCCGTGTTTTCTTCTTAAAAACAAGATGGCGACGGGCAATTTCCGAATTTAAGGCTTCAAAACCGTAGTCCACCAACCGATAGGTGACGTCCACTTCTTACATACAGGCTATGGTCCGGAGATCTGTCTGTTTCGTGAACGGATTGTGCAACTTATGCATCTTAGAAACTCCTATTCTTTTGTTTTTCTGGGGATTGTAGTCTTTGACGCTGGACTCGAATCAAACTTATCCTCTGAAGAGGATCCCTGCTGCACGTCTCTTCTCACCGTCTCTTTCCACTTCCCTGATTGAGGTTGACCGCGGCGGCAGTGCAGCCAGTGATGATAAACTATGCAGAGTTGTAACTGCTTTGATCTTTTATTTTTGGGATTTGACAACATGATGCAAGTTGAGGGAAATTTGCTGATTTATTCATAACCTCTTGTGAATATTTAATCTTCGTTTTTTGGTGGTGCACTTTGTTGTGATGGCATTGAGGCTATTTAGCAGATCACAGATGAATCATAACATTCAGTGTTTGTTCTCATATGTGATGCTTATCAAATTGACATTATGAAATATGAATGTACTCTATTTGTTGCCGCGTAGGATTTGCTTACTTCTGCAATGATTGATATTAAACTCATCAGGAAAGCGATCTTTCATCTGTCATCATGTCTTCACTAAATATATGTTTAGTCCACTCGTTCTGTTGCTGTGTGTTTGATATCGGGTCAATTTAACTAAAAATGATGCAATAGTGATGTTAGATGTCCCCCTGAACCACACTTCACAGTCGTGCAGGTATTGAACCTGTGACCTTTCTTCTAAAGAACGTTTGCTTTAACTGTTGCCACCCTGCAGAGCGCTTCATCTGTGGATGGGTGCAGGTGCCGCTTCTAGAAAAGGTCTATTTTAAATAGGTCTGTTTCCATACCAGACATGTTGTTCCCGTTCCTCCTTTAAAGGGAAGAGTAAGAAATCTTTAAGTAACTCAACTTTAAGAGTTATTTGAGTTACTCACATTATTCGTTAAGTTTAGGGCTGAAAGCAGAGTGTTACCAGAAAATATTACAAAAGTTGTTTTTCTTTCAGAGGACGAGGACCATAGAAGGAAATTTAATTTTAAGCATGAGTATGCACTTTAAGCAGATTACTTTGAAGCACATGTGTGTTTCAATATGTAGAATTCTCTACAGAATTAGTTTAAGGGTGGTATTAATATATTCCTGTTCAAGGTACCAGTGAGATAAAAAAGCTGCGAGTAGGAGATCCGTGACTTTGAAGGCTTGTCATATCTCAAAACACTGCATTGCAGTTTATAGTACGATGGGGAAGGATTTCTGGGGCGTTACCATGTGACTGCTCATTTAGTTTTTAGATAAACAGTAGAATTAAATGTGTCTCGTTGTGTACTCTTCTCTGTGTTGTTCTCATGTGATCCATTGGCCGACTTCCCTCCTGCTCCTTTAGTTTTATCTCTCTCACTTGCTTCTTCTTGCTCTCTCATAGTGCAGCGCCTCAGCTTTCTCTGTTCCCTTCCTAACAATGTGCCTCATTGTTGAGCAGGAGGCTGTCAAGCATGATATCTGGGATTAAAACGCACAGTCAGACAGAAAGAAACACAGACAGAGCTTTTCTACACTGTTCCATTACTCGCCAAATCCTCGCTACAGAGGCCTTTTTAGGGTCAGTCTTCAGGGCAAACAAGGCACTGGTTTGGGAACATTGAGTTCCCTAATCTCCGGGTGTCATTGTCCTCACCCGCCTGAGCCTGGCAGCAGCAGGACCACCCTCGTTTAAAAGGTGTATGCACTGTACCACGCTATTTAGGCCCCCAAAGTGTCGGCCGTAATAATCATTGTACAATATTCAAACATTATGCAGTAGTTACAGTTTTTATATCTATTCAGTTACAGCATGATCTGGTTTGTGGTACTTCTTTTTGGGTTTCAATAGTTGGGGCCCTGACCCAATATAAGACTTTCACCTCCAGTAGTGGGATTTTCTGTAGCTTCTAAAGAGGCTTAGGACCCAGCAGTGCCAGTGCCGTTAGTTTTAGGGCTGAAGGATCCAATCTTTATGTGTAAACATGTAAGACTCCTAAAACCCCCATTTAATAACCTTCAATACACTTCACAGGTATTCACTGAAAGGATTTACCGTATTAGTCCCTAAAAGGGCAACATGGCATAAGAGGAACAATTCATTTCACCTCAGTGCTGCCTGTGCTGTGTAGAAGTTAAAAGACCAACGTTTGGTCCTTTTTATTATGTAACAGAAATGCATGGGTTTATAAGTAACCTTGTAGTTCAATTATATGTAATGTATTACATGAAGAGCTTTAGATAAACACCACCTACAGTATATGGCGTTCATTTAAAAAACATCATTTTTTAAAGAGTGTTTGTCATCGAGTCACATCTGCCACTGAGCTGAATCCACTAAAAGCTGTGACTCTGAATGTTGTCTCACCAAAGGCAGCAATAAAATGAAGTGTATTTAAAAGGTCGTGACAAGGATTTCGGTTGTTTATTAACCAAAAATGTTAAGAGCCAAAGTTAATTTTAGTATCAGAATTAAGTAAAGATGGCTGCTTCTAACGGGTAAGAGCGAATCCTTGATCCCCTGAAAGCTGTCAGATGGTTTTGTTGAGAGAGACGGACATCATCACAGAGAGGAGAAGACATCCAGCCTCATAACTCCCACAATCCCTATTCTCATCTCTACTTCTCTACTGCGCTTCATGTAGCGGTGATGCCGACCGCCTCAGCAAGTTGGATGGCTTGTGTAACGTGCAGCATACCGATGAATGACGGGGAAGAAAAAGGATTAGTAACAGGACAGAGTGTCTTCTAGCAGAAAAGCAGAAATAAAAGAGTTGTTCCAGAAGGAAACGTGGCACAAAACCCACCAAGGCTCAACCAGGTGCATGTGTGCATATTAAAGACTTTGGTTCATTTTCAACTCTGTTGTTGAGACTGTGTGTGGCAGAGATGGGCAACATGGCTAAGAAATGTGCTTGTTTAAAAAATTATTCAGACAAACGAGCTCATTAAAGCTCATTATGGACACTATTTTTAGCTTTCAACCTTTTTAAGTTGTAAATGATTTTGCATCTCCAGTAAATGTATTTTCCTTCTCCCTCACTCCCTCACACTTTCCCTTCCGTCTCCGTCTCTTGAATATTTCAGTGTCTTTCTGACTACATCACACTCTCAGAAGCAGAACGGTGTTCTTCATATTTTACCACACGGCCATATTCCCATAAAGAGCAGCAAAGTTGGACGCACCAAAAATGTATTCACCCGTTCATCCCATCTCACATATACTCTTAACAGCCTCATTAAATACGCACACACACACACACACACACTCTTGACAGCCTCATTAACTACACACACACACACACAACCTACTTAGCACTGTTAGCTGCGAGCTGCTGACTCAGCGGTCGCCATATTGTGAGCCGTGTGGAGGAAATCCCTCAAGCATCGATATGCTCTGAATTCAAAATTCAGCATCTTTAAGATGTGCATACACACACACAAACTTGCGTGCAGCACTTAACAGGTACACAGCTGATGTACCCAGATTCAAAGAGGCAGTTTGCTCACATTCACTTGGGCATGCACGGACATGCAGGACACGCACACACGGCTTTCCAGCCAAAGCGGTGGGGGTTTGATTATTGTGTTCGGTCCTCGCCTCCAGCAGACGCTTGGACAACACGGCATCTCAAGCCTCGCGGTAGGAAGATGAGATTCAAGAGGAAGGAGAGGAGAGAAGAAGAGAAAAGGGCATAGAACAACATGGAGAAAAAGACTGGAGAAATTTACCAAAAACTCTAAATTTTGATTGGTTTGATTCTAAATATTAGGGTGAAGGCTGGCATGTATGAAAGTGATCGGTGTCCCAGTCAGGTTGGGTTTTTTTTTTGTCTTTAATGTCTTCGCTTTATTTCCTTTGTGCAATCCTTTTCACACATTTTGTGTTGCATTGGTCATCCGCGGCCAATTTTGGAAAAAGTATTTTGCATGTGGTTGAGTAAGCATGTGGTAATTATTCATTATTATTAATAAGCAGTCAATGCCGTGTTGATTTTCTTTCTTTGTTTAAACAAACAGTCTAATCTGCCGTCCGTGATGGAGTCAACTGCTGTGTTAACGAGGTGCTGGTAATCGCTTATGGCACAGAAGTAATTAACTGGTTCACACATTATTTTGCAGCCAGTGTCTTTGTTTCCAGCATTCATTTTATATATCTTATTTTCGATTAGTGTGATGTAGAAAGTTCAGTTTGTATTATTGCTCAGTGCAAAGGTATTTATGACACATTACTGATTATGACAGTTGAAAATACAGATGTTTCTTTTTTTGCTTAATGAGTTAATATGAAGAATTGTAGGAATCTGTACCAGAGTTTGATAAGAACCAGAATCATCAGAAGTGATACAATCGAAGTGATGCTAAGTTTTATCCAAAACAGCTGTTGTTGTTGTTGCTGTTGCAAATGTAGTATGCATCTCTTCTTATGCACCATAATGTATTTTCCAGCAAACACTTGACCTCAGTGGTTGAGAGCAGCACATTTAAAAGCTTTAGATATGTTACAGATTGAACCAATGTTGCATTATGTTCCAATATAAAGTAGCTTTATATGTTTGTAAACATACTAGAGACTGTTGCCTAACAGATTCCATCTTTTTCTCTCTTTCCATTCTGCTGTTATCTCCTTTTTCTTTTGCTCCTCTTCCTTATCTCTCTCTCTCTCTCTCTCTCTCTCTCTCTCTCTCTCTCTCTCT